TTACAAACACCATTAGAACAAATTCCTCTATTCATTAAGAGAATGCAACTATATATGTATTACTTTCTATAAAGCATCAGGAAATTTGATTCACAGAGGATTAAAACATCTAGAGAGAAACATATGATATGGAATATGAACCAGTAATAGAATAAGAATCTGAGTCAACATTAGTAGAGGTATTATTTTTTTCAAGATAACCTATAATTTCAATGGAATTGTTAATACACTTCTGATATATTGTTCTTCAACCTGGCTAGATGATTCTAAATTGTACCTGGGATAAGATATAAGCAAACAATAAAAACTATGATGGGCAGAAATAATACAAGGTGACTTTTTCCAATAAGCCTTTAAATATATAAAGAAGAGAAAACATCTTTTTAAATATAAGAAAAGATTTTAAATCCTGATCAGCTTTATAACATGAATTATTCATACTCATTTATTCACAAGAATGTGGAAAATGAAATACATGAATTTTGAAATACTAACAAAGACCATTTACATATAATCTGAAGGAAAACATAGAATAAAGTAAAAACTAACTCAAACTGTATCAGTCATACAGAAATCTTAGGAAGAAGAAATTAAATGTCCAAAATAAACAAGATTTGAAGAGCACATGATGGTAGAGAGAATGAATGATTAGAAAATGTGCATAAATTTTAGTTCTATATTTAGAAACTGTAGGCTTTATTTTAAAATAACACATTGGTTGGCTGTGTTTATATTGAGGAATGTGATAATAAAATGAAAGGAAAAACAATGCTGAAAAATAACACTTGTTATTAATATTTTCTACCAAAATTGACTCCTCAGGATCAGAGCATGTGACATGTAAAGATTTCCAGAAAGAAATACAATAATGTGAGGCCACTCATAATAATTGCCAGACCTACCTAGAATTAAGGAATTCTCATTCCCAGATGCATTATGCAGAGCAACCACCAGGGATGCTGGGAAAAGATAATTGCTTAAAATGCAAACAAATTTTGGAGCCTAGTCCCCAAATGTGTGTGTGTGTGTGTGTGTGTGTGTGTGTAACATAATCCCAAGAGAGCTTGTTAAGACACATAGCACTGTCTCCAAACTCAGTGTGGCACTGAGTTCATCAGGAAAACCTGAAAATGAACATTTCTAAGAGGTTCATAAATGTTCAACTGCTATTCAGGGGACACACTTTGAGTCCCTGATTTGAAGTTGATTTTTTTTTTCAAATAGCAATGGTAACTACAAAGACATCAAATTATTAACCAAAAGGATTTCTTTTTTAATAATTTTATTGAGAAACTAATAGCAATGAGACAGCTTCAAAACCAATTATTTGGACAGTTTCAATAATTAATACTACATATTGTTGTCTTAGTGGCTATTCATTGTACAAGATGCAGACATGATATCCTGTCCACAAATACTATTAGAGCAAACCTCTCTATTCACTGAATTAAAAGAATGCAGCTGTATATCTATCCTATTTTGAATATACAGATACAAATGGTCGTTCATTTGTATCCTCTTTTTTTGTTTAGTTTTGTCAGAGAAGGGTATTGCATTGTCATTTAAATATTGTACATACGTCACTGCAGCAAAATATTTCACTATAGGATTTCTTGAGTTCTCTGAACAGTCATATTAGGAAAATAATCTTCAAGAGTAAGAGTGAATATTGTTTTTCTTTCTCCCCCCCCCCCAGGTAATTCTGTCAGCCTCATGGAAACAATAAACCAAACAGGAGTAACAAACTTTCTCCTTATGGGATTCACAGAGGACGCTGACCTGCAATCCCTCCTCTTTGGGTTGCTCCTGCCCATGTACCTGGTCACCATCACAGGAAACCTACTCATTATCCTGGCCATCACCTCAGACTCGCACCTCCACACACCCATGTACTTCTTTCTCTCCAACCTGTCCTTTGCTGACATCGGTTTCACCTCCACCACCATCCCGAAGACACTGGTGAACATACACACTCAGAATAAAGCCATCACCTTTGCAGGCTGCATCACACAGATGTGTTTCTTCATTGTGTTTGGGTGCCTGGACAATTTGCTGCTAACAGCAATGGCCTATGACCGCTTTGTAGCCATCTGTCACCCCCTGCGCTACACGGTCATCATGACCCCACGGTTCTGTGGGCTGCTGGCTCTGGGGTCCTGGATGATCAGTGTCATGGGATCTCTGTCTGAGGTTTTGACTGTTTTGAGGCTGTCCTTTTGTGCTAATACCAAAATCCCCCATTTCTTTTGTGATCTGCCTGAAGTCCTGAAGCTTGCCTGTTCTGACACCCTCATCAATAACATCATAGTATATTCTGCAACCATCGTCTTAGCTGTCTTTCCACTTACTGGGATTCTTTTCTCTTATTCTCAGGTTTTCTCCTCCATTCGGAGAATATCAGCAGCAGGGGGCAAATACAAAGCCTTTTCCACCTGTGCATCTCACCTCTTGGTGGTCTCTTTGTTCTATGGCACAGGTCTTGGAGTCTACCTCAGCTCTGTAGCTACAGTGTCCTCCAAGATGAGTCTGATTGCCTCAGTGGTGTACACCATGGTCACCCCCATGCTTAATCCCTTCATCTACAGTCTGAGAAATGGGGATATGAAGGGTGCTATAAGGAGGCTCCTGAGTAACATGGGACCTCTCACTGAGCAGACCATGGCAGGACCCTGAAGAGTAGTAATGTGCCCAGTACTGAGGACCAGAGAACCTGGCTCCCTACATTCAGTACTGTGTCTACTTCTGCTTTCCCAGTTTGTTAAGCCTTTCTTTGCATCTTCCTTTGGGGTCTTCCATACCAGAAGTACTGTTCCTAAATAGAGATCACCTTTTTCTTTAGTTAACATGTTATTTTAACTTATATAGGTGCAACATGGTATTTAGTAGTTATCTTCAGTAATGACTTGTGAGATTTTTCTGTACATATTATTGATATATAATAATAGCAATTATACGTGAAATACAGTATGATAATCCAATATGTGTACGTAATGTTTGATTATTAAGTAATGGTTATTAGTACCCTTATCTATTATAAATCTTCAAATTCCAATCATGAGTATTTTTATGTATATTTAATAAATTGTTCTACACTATTGTCACTCCACTGTGCTAAAAAAATCATTATGACTTATATCACTGTTACCCAGCTTCCCTCTCATTTTTTGCCACCTAAGCCCACCCTGGGGGAAGGCCTGGTGCAGCATGTTGTGCCAGGGATCAAACCACAGTCTCTGCACATTTGCCTAAACTTGCCTAAGTAGGCTCTTCAGACCACTGAGCTAACTCGCCGGCCCCCAGCTTCTCTCTTAACACCCATAGTCTTACCCTTCTTAATGGCTATTGACAATTATTCCACTATCTAACCTGTAAAATGATTTACTATTCTCCACATATGAGAGGGGTCTTGCAATATTTGTCTTGCAATTCTATTTAATATGTTAAATCTTAATTTCCTAATGTGTATTCCCATGAGTATCAGGACGTGTACCTGCAATATTGTGGATATGATGTGAAAAATCACTTGTACGACCATTTTCTGAAAGCTAAAAATAAAATTAATACAAAGATTTTTCTACCTGATTCACTATCTTTTCAATCACTTAAGATTACTGAATTTTTTCTGCGCATTTACATCATGGATTTCTTCAAGCCCAGAATGGTATCTTATCCAGCTTTTGGACCACAGTGTCTCATACAGGTCTTGGTTACTAAGCCAAAGTAACTCCATTTCTTAGTGTTCCATTGCATAGCTGTGCAGAGAGTCCTTGGTGAGTGGCGAGGCTGTGCCAAACTGCAGCACAGCAGGGTGCTCCACTGCAATGGCTGCACGATGTTTCCTGAGACAGAGTTCCTTATAAGGACAGGATAGGATACATGAATTCTCCAAGAGCTCTTGTCTTCTACTTATATTTTTTGCTATTTATCCTATACCCTTACAAAACCAATAGTTTATCCAAAGTGAATAACAAATTTGTTATCACTGCCATTCTAAAGTTATCCTCAACTTTGTAAGTAATTCTTTTTCTTTAATGCCTTCTTAAGTTTGTTTGTTTTTTGTTTTTTGTTTGTTTGTTTGTTTTTTTGGGGGGGTTTTCTCTTTTGTTTTGTTTTGCAGAACCGGGGACTGAACTCAGGCCCTTGCACTTACCAGGGAACCTCCTATTCTACTGAGCCATCTCCCTGGCCCCAGTAATACTTAATTAATTCATTTACAGGCCAAACTGGATTTGTCTGAGTTATTCTTCAGACTCTCACTGCTCTTTCCACTTACAAGGTAGACGTTTCTTCAACACATCTCCATAAAATTAATGGGACATCCCATAAATATTATTCACATGGAGAGAACCGCAGTCTGCACATTTGCCTAAACTTGCCTAAGTAGGCTGTTTAGAAAACTGAGCTATCTTGCTGGCCCCCAGCTTCCCTCTTAACCCCCATACAAGGGGGTGCCTTAATGTTTTAAAAGATCTGGAGTATAAAATGCAAGGTTCTTTATTTGTTTTTGTTTTTGTTTTGTGAGACAGAGTCTCACTATGTAGTTCAGGATGGCCTTGAACTCACTGTCAAACCCTGATTGCCCTCAACCTCACAATCCTTCTGTCTCAGGAAGGGAATATATCTCAGTACAACAAGCACTTGCCTGGGAAGCCCAAGGTCCCAAGTTTGAGCTCCAATACCACAAAAGGAAAAAAAAATGTCCGCCTGCTTCAGCCTCCTAAATGCTTGAATTACAGGAATGGCTTACAAGGTCAGGACCAGAATTTTAATTTAATAGAAAGCTTCGAGTGAGAAAAAATCATTTATTTATTTATATTGATATTAAAAACAATACTCAGCATATTCCACTACTAATTCAGCATTGTGTATACCATACTCGACAATTTTTCCAATAACTCTTTTGTGATGAATTAGTTAATTTTCTATGACAGTACAAAAACATGAGGCTCACTCTTTAAAAAGGAGAGATGGCCTGAGGAACACTTGCATTTCTGGGGGGATGTTTCAACTGGCAGTTACCTCAGCACCAGAAGCTAGCAGACCAGCTACCTCCATTGCTAGCAACACCATGGGTATTGTGATGGGTGTCTTCACACTCGCTACATGGGTTACATGCCTCTGTGGCAGTGCCTCATGCTTGGTGTGTGGTTGCTCTCCCAAAAGGAACTCCAGTTCCTCTGCATGCTCAGGACTCCTCCACCCCTCCGGAGCCAGCCCAGGCACACCGGATGGGGAAGACCTTCCACTGCAATTTCTGGACTCCTCTACCTCTCTACACCCATCCCAATCCCAGGCCTTGCAAGTATGCAGGAGAGCTACCCCATTCCACTGCACCAGCTTGTCCTCTCCAGACCCAGCCCAGGCCTGGCATACAGGCCTGGTGTGAAACTCTGCAGCTGAAGTCCCTGCAAAGAGAGTAGGGGACAGAACCACCCAGCTAATCCAGGAGCAGAACATCTTCCCAGAGGGGCACAACAGGTTCACCCCCAAATAATGTGGCAGGAAGGAGCTGAGCACAGTAGCCAGCTCCAAGCCAGGCACAACTAGATGAATGCAAATGTTGTACATCTGATCCAGAATATCGTAGGTTCTAAGGTTATAACTGCACCAAAGCTCTACACCAAATGTCAGAGGACAATGCTATACAAAATCACAAAGAGAAGGAGCAAGATGCAATCTGAGAAACCAAGCCAAACTAAAACAAGTGTAGAGGACACTAGCACAGAAAAATTGAGAATCAAAAAGCTGAAATGTCTGAATCAATAATGTCTGAAGTAAAGAAACAACAGCTGAAAAGTATACAGGAACCCAGGTCAGAAATAACCTCTGAAATAAAAAAAACAAATCTCTGAATTACTAGCATCTGAAGTAAAGAAATAAAGGCAGAAATACATGGAGGAAATCTGATCAGATATACTCTCTGTGGTAAAAGAATTAATAACTGCCTATCAAGAAGACACTGATAAAAAATAGAGATTAGAAAAATGATGGATTCCTTGAATAAGCAATACAGGAAAGAAATAGATTACATGAAGCAGAGTCAAAGAGATATAGAGGAATTTAAAATCTCAATCACAAGCTTGCAAAACCGTTTGAGTGAAAGAGGAGGTAGAGTTTCAGATCTTAAAGACGTCATCGCAGCTAATGAAAAGGTAAGAAAAGATCTCTTAAAAACACCTGGGATGCAGGAAAATATAATTCATCACCTGCAAGATGATGCAAAGATGAACAATGTAGATCTCCACACAAACAGATCCAGGCTTAGAACAGGCCCGGTTAGTGTGTGGGAGAGCTGCCTTTTCCCCCTACTACAACTTGTCCCCTCCAGACTCAGGTAACGCCTTGCATACAGGCCTGGGGTGAAACCTTTCAGTTGCAATCCCTGCAGAGAGGGTAGGGGACAGAAACACTTAGCAAGTCTAGGAGCAGAACATCTTGTCAGAGGGGCACAACAGGTTCACCCCAAGGGCAGCAGCAGGAAGGAGTTGAGCACAGCAGCCAGAACCATGCCAGGCACAGCTGGATAAATCTAAACATTGTAGATCTGCACCTGCACTTTAGTAGGTGCTAAGGTTACAACTGCAACAAAGATCTACAACAAAAGTCAGAAGACAGTGCTACACAAAATGACAAAGAGAAGAAGCAAAATGCAATCGCAGAACCCAAGCCCAACCATGACAAGTGCAGAGGACATTAACATAGAACAAATTGGGAATCACACAGCTGAAATAAATGAATCAAAGGCTCCTGAAATAAAGAAACAGATGCGGAAAGGTAGAGAGGAACTCAGATTGGAAATGAAAAAGGAAATCCCTGAATTAAAAACATCTGCAGTAAAGAATCAAATGCAAGAAACCCAATGCCTACCCAGAACAAGTGGAGAGGACACTAGCTCAGCTCAAATGTATGAATTAATAGCGTCAATAGTAAATAAGCAACAGCAGAAAGTCATAGAGGAACTCAGCAGAATTCTTTTCTACTAGCTCAGCTCAAATGTACAAATTAATAGCAACGATAGTAAATAAGCAACAGCAGAAAGTTATAGAAGAACTCAGAGTGGAAATCTTTTCTCAAATAAAAAAGAATTCCCTGAACTCATACCGTCCTAAGTAAAGAATCAACTACAGAAACACAGGGAGGAAACTCACTCTGAAAAAAACGCTGCAGTAAAAGAACTTATAACTGCTTCTAAATAAGACATTGAAAAAAAAACAGGTGATTAGAAAAATGACAGATTCCTTGAAGGAGTAATACATGAAAGAAATAGATCGCATAAAGCAGAATCAAAGAGATATAGAGAAATTTAAAATCTCAATCACAAGCTTGCAAAACAATTTAAGTAAAAGTGAAGACAGAGTTCTGGATCTTGAAGATGCTGGTGCAGCTGGTGAAAAGGTAAGAAAGGATCTCTTAAAAACAATGAGGATGCAGGAAAAAATAATCCATCACCTGCAAGATGATGCAAAGAAGAACAATGTGACTAATAGACATCAATGAGAAAAAAAGAGTCAACACAAATGACATTTTAAAAAAATACATGCAGAAGTAATAGCAGAAAACTTCCCAAGTATGAGGAAACAATCTGACATTCAGGAAACCGAAGCATACAGAATACCAAGTAACCTCAACCCAATTAAAAACACAATAAGACATATAATGGTCAAGAAACCAAA